AGGTGACAAGGGAGGTGACAACGGAGAAGTAGGACAGCCAAAAAATTTAATTAGGAGTGGTCTTTAATTACTGTTTAAGAAATTTCATTGTTTACGTCTAATGTAAACAATGAGATTTCTTTAATTAACATTATAATTTTTGTTAATATGTTGTTAATAACTAACTTGTAACACTCACACCTGTCACACTTTACCCAAATGGGACGGTTCCTTTAAAATTAAAAAAAAAAAGAAAAAAAGGAAAGCACGACGAAGTTTGTTGTTTTTTCCATTTTGAAACATTAAAATATGATAAAAACTTATTTTTAAGGGATGTTTGTTAGAAGACTTGTTTTCATTCTTCAATTTAGTAGACTATTTTATCAACCTTGTCTTGAAAAAATCTTTATATTTTTCCTTAACCTAAAGAATATATATATATATATATATATATATATATATATATATATATATATATATATATATATATATATATATATATATATATATATATATATATATATATATATATATATATATATATATATATATATATATATATATATATATATATATATATATATATATATATATATATATATATATATATATATATATATATATATATATATATATAGTATATATGTATGTATATATATATATATATATATATATATATATATATATATATATATATATATATATATATATATATATATAGTATATATGTATGTATATATATATATATATATATATATATATATATATATATATATATATATAGTGTATATGTATGTATATATATATATATATATATATATATATATATATATATATATATATATATATATATATATATATATATATATATATATATATATAGTATATATGTATGTATATATATATATATATATATATATATATATATATATATATATATATATATATATATATATATATATATATATATATATATATATATAGTATATATGTATATATATATATATATATATATATATATATATATATATATATATATATATATATATATATATATATATATACTCAAAAATATAATTCCATTGTCACGGTTGAGAAGTATAGGAGCGTGTTTTATTTCCTGGAATGTTGAGGCGTAGTTAATTTCAAGCGATTTATATTCATCGTGTCTGATTTTATCGCTAGAGTTTTCGAATATGCCTAATCTTTATTTTAATTTCTATTTAAATTTGTATTTGGAAATATAAAATTAACGTATTTTAATATGTATTTGTATTTAATTGATCACAACCCTGATTATGACCGAACAATAGCATGAGACTTTTTTTCAATCAGGTTTTTCTAATGCTTAACTCTTTCGCACCAAAACGGGTCCTTAACGACCCTGTAATAATAAATCAATAATTAAAGGTTTTTTTAGCAGAGCCATTAATCAAAAGTACTTGATTATATGCTTTAAAGGCTCAGCTTCAAAATTTGCCGTAATAAACTAACTTTTAAAGCTTCGTAATAGAAATAAGGGGTCCATAAATTACGTCACACTTTATTGATGAAGGAGGAAGGGGGGGAGAGCAGGTAAGGAACGGGGATGTTAGTGGTTTATTGACAATTCACACGTAATTTCTTACTAAAGTGTTACGATGTTGTGACGAGGAGAGGGGAGGGGTCTCAAATAGTTGAAAATTTAGTGACGAAGTTTGTAAACGATCTCTAAGTTGACAGTTTTTTTAGAGTGTTTGATTTTGATTAAATTTTTTTTTTTTGAAAATTCACGTAATTATAATGTCCACTATCACTGATGTTTTAATTTTTTTTAAAGATTCATAATGTCTATGAGTTTATCTTTTAAAAAATATATAGTTTTGGAGTGAAATTTGATGTCTTTCACGGTATAAAATTTTTTTTTGTGATATTATATTCAGTTTATATTATATTTTTGTGTTCCTGGCTAATTTATATCTCAAAGATTTTTAAGTGCTTAAGCACTGTATTTTTATTTATTTTCTTTATTTTGGAGAATGCACCACGAGTAGTTTTAAGTCTTAATTTCTTCTAAGGTATGAAGCAAGACTTTTTTTTTGTAAAAAAAAATTTAAAAATTCGCAAAAGTCACGTGATCTTTGTATCCGCCATCATTGGTAATTCATGTTTTTAAAAGAAGAGACACAATCTATATTTATTTATCTTTTTGAAAATATATAGTTATGGGATGTAAATATGATGCCTTTTATCCCATATATATCATTTTCAGTATAGCATTTTTATTTTTACTGTTTACAAATATTAAATATAGGTGCGAAAGAGTTAAAAAAAACTTTTCTTTATTTTCAATAGTTTAAAAAAAATCTTTTATTATCACTAATACAATTTTGTACACAAATATAATTTTATTAAACAAATACAAGATCTAAATAACACCATTTTAGAGTCTTTAGATTGATACCGCTTATTAGATTTAATTAGAACCTTGTTAAATTTTTTTTGTAAAGTGGTTTAATGCACTTTGAATCCTAGTTCTGATTTATTTTGTTGAATATTAACTTCATATATTTTTCTTAACACAATATTTCCATCGAATTCCTTACAAAGTTTAGTGCAGGACCAAGTGGGAGCTAGGGACCTCTAAAAATTTTAGAGGACTTTTTTTTTTTTTAGTCATATTTAGGCTCTAGCCTATAAAAAGACCTCCAAAAACAAAAATAGCACCGGGCCCCAAAAAGTCTTAACAAAGTTTATGAATTTCTATCAAGAAAGAACTTATTTATTTAAAATCTTATTATAATCTGAACAAGCGATCGTGAGTTGAAAGAAAAAATCTGTTTTTTTTTAGTTCAGAAACATTTTCATATCATGTTAAGCCAAATATTCTATACAATTATGAAAGTTACCGATAATTATTTTTTATTATAACAGGAATCTGAAAAATAAACATTTATAATTATTTCTCATTAAGAAATAACTCTTTCAAAAACTTTTAACTTCTGTCATAATTTAAAGACTAGATTGTTTGATGTAATTATAGTTCATTAAATAAATTATAATTTAGTATTTTACAGACACAACAATATTTTAAACCAACTAAACTGCACTAAAACTGAGTAAAAAAATTTCGCACGATAACTCCATAGTTTTATATATCATATTTTTTTTACTTTTTTTTTTATAAATTTGTTCTTACCTTTCAGGCCCGTAGCAACAGGTGTGTGTTGGGAGGGGGGGACAACAGGGGCATTGTCCCCCTCCCCCAATATTTTTTTAAATTGAAGAAATTGACTGAAAAATGGCTTAAAAAAAAAGGTCCTCAAAACTATTTCGGAGTAGTACTGCCCCCCCTCCCAATATTATTTTAGTTCCTAAGGGCCTGCTTCTAAAGCTTTTTCATAGACCATACATTTTTGTTAAAGTAACATTTTTTTCATTGAATATGACATACGAAAATTCCCTTTAAATAAACTAATATAAAAAACTATCAAAACTTCTTCATAAAAAATAAATGAATCAAAATGAAACAAAAATTTAAGTGGATATTTTCAAATAAATTGAAAACATATTAAAAACAAAAATCTTTTATTTTTTACATTAAAGGTACCACGAAAAAGCAAACTAAAAAGTAAATAAAACATTTTAACTGACTTTTTGAAAATTTAGGTAAGACCTTAAAATATAAAAAATATCTTTCAAAAAAATACTAAAAATATTTAGGTTAACTTTAAACACAACTTCTACAAAGGTGTATTTTAAATACATTAATGTAGCATGCTACAATGTTTCATTTAGCACCTTTAGAGTAAATTTTGCAACATTGAATTTAACTGTTCCAATTTAGTTTATAAATTCATTTTAAATCAAATTTTTTTTAAAAAAGTTGTAATAAAACGGGAAGAATAATTCGTGGAGATAAAATATTGTATGTGGTCGTTGCGAGAAAATCAGAAAAATAAAGATTTATACCACATAATTTTTTTTTTATGTAAATTACTTTTTTATGTAAGTTGAGTCTGACTATGTCACAAATGTGGGCATGAAAATCAATCATCCTTTAAATCATTTATTTACATTTGGTTATTGAAGTTTTATTATTCCAGGAGTGCAAAAACGATTTGTTTTACACTCCCAAAACTAAAGTTGCAATAACCTTTTGAAAGAAGCTACAACACAAAACATATTTAATTTCAATTGATAAATATTTAGTTTGAATTTTCAAATTTTAACACAAATCTTCAAAAAGTAGTTTTTTGTTTTTTTCTATTGGTGTGACATTTTTCTGTTTACATGCTTGCTCGTGTCTTGTTTTTTTTAAGTTAAGTTTTTGTTGTTGTTGTTGTTTTTATTTTGTTGTCGTTTTTTTTACTGTTTGAGCTGTTGTTTTAGTTTGCTAAATGTTGTCGCAGTTTAATAAATGCTAATGCTGTTGAGCTGTTATTGATTTCAAGATAATAAAGTTTTAAATTCAATTTAAAATATTTTTGTTGCTTGTGAAATCATTTTGCTATTTTGGGACTAAAATCTTTTCTGGCGAGGATTGAATAAGTAATTGAAAAGTAGCATAAGTAAGCATAGAAATAAATAGATGCAACATTTTAAAAGTCCTTAGCATCAAGTGTATTGCAATGTATAAAAAGTTAAAATCATAGCTTAAAAACAACAACATTTAAATTATTTGTCACAATTAAATGTATCAAACGAATCGTTTTAATTGATTATGGAAATCACCCAACAGGAGGTTTTAAACATTTTATGGCTCGTTTAAAAACGAATATTTTTAAGTTAGCTACTCATACCACTTCCAGGTAAACTTTATATATATATATATATATATATATATATATATATATATATATATATATATATATATATATATATATATATATATATATATATATATATATATATATATATATATATATATATATATATATATATATATATATATATATATATATATATATATAAAGGAAAACCTTATTTTTTTTTATAAAAAATAGTTTTTATAACAACTATAAAAAAACTATATCAATTACCATTTTCAGCTTGTGCGGCGAGTTGTTATCGTTCTTTAAAACGCTTTCAAAAATCAGCACGAAAGTATAAAAACACAGAAACAATTTAGTATTTGTTCTCAAACAAATAATTGAATTGTATCTTGTAATCTCCCAACAGGACAGTTTAAATGCTTGAGAATTTCTCGACTTTCTTCTAAAAGACTTTATATTTGCATATATATTTTTTAGAAATAAAAAACTTTGTTACAAACAAAGTATAAAAATAATCAACTTGTTTAGCGTTTTGTGTATAATCGAATTTAATCTCTAATTTAAGCAATCAATAAAAAAAACTTTAAAACGTTAAAAAAATTTGACGCAGATAAAAATCTTTTTCAAACAATTTAATTGATTTAAAAAGTGCAATAATTACTCATTTACAACCTCATCAAGTATTATAGTTGTGTAAAACCGCATGATTACAAGTCTCGCGCAGCGTTCCGGATTGACAAGATAATTGAAAACCTTTAATTATTTTTTTTTTAATTTAAAATTCTTACTAACCGCAGAAAAGAAATAATATATTTTCAAGTATTTATTTATTTAGTATTTTTTGAATATTAGTTAATGATAAATTTTGACAAAACTTTGATAGGCTTAAAAAAATATATATCATAGAAAAAGGAGTTATTTTCTTACAGATGAATATAAAATATGGAAACCCTTATAGAAAAAGAACATAAAAATTGACGTCAATTTTTACGTCATGACGTACAGTTGGAATTATCTTTATTAAAATATCTGAAAGAGAATTTACCACTGCATTTTTGTTTCAAAGTTATTTAAAAATAATAAGGTATTATAGTTTTATTTTTAAAGTAATTTTTAAAATATTTGTTTATTTTAAGTTTTAGGTTTTTTACATTTTTTGAAGTATGTTGTTTTGGTAATTAAAAGCTGATATTTTCTTAATAAGATTATTTTGAGGCTACCTAGTTATGTTTATACACATTCCTATATTAATCTTAATATAATAGTGGAAGATTTTAATTTTGAATGTATAAGGTAGAAACCCCGGCTATTTTAAACTTATTTTCAGGAAAAAAAACTCAGAAGAGTATTTAAAAACGGTAAATATTTATAAAAAATGTATTTTTACATAAGCGTTGATAAGAATAAAATTTATTTTTTAAAACTATAAATATATAAGATGACAGCACACGGTAAAAAAATTTTGTTTAAAAATCAATTTAAAATATATATATATATATATATATATATATATATATATATATATATATATATATATATATATATATATATATATATATATATATATATATATATATATATATATATATATATATATATATATATATATATATATATATATATATATATATATATATATATATATATATATATATATATATATATATAGGGGAAAGCGGGGCAACATGGCGAACGTTTTGAAAGCCCTGAGTTATTGCAAAACTATCATTCATGAAGCAATAATACTTTCTCAGTATGTTTATGTTATTAAAATCCTTCATTGCCTACATGAATTTTCAGTTTGCAAATATAACAATTTGAAATAAATTTTAAAATAAAAAGTTCATAAATTTGCCATCTGATCACGTGACCGGGGCAAGATGACTTATTATGCTATTTTTACCTCCAATTTTAAAAAATTTTAAAAACTACCATTATCTCTAAATAAAGTAACAAAAAAATAAACACAAATTGCAAAAAACTACTTCTAAAGAAGTTAAACTTGAAGGACACCATCCATTATGAGAAACCAAAAGTGAGGAATTTTTTTTTAAGCGAAATAAGTATACTTATGCATATAAAATTGCGTTAATAATATTTCAAAAAACCAATTGGTGTTTTAAAATACAAGATGCAAATACAGTTTTGTTTTCACCCAATTTTAAGAATTTTTGTTAAGTTGTTATATGAAAACCCATCTTGCCCCATTCGCCATGTTGCCCCGCTTTCCCCTATATATATATATATATATATGAATATATATATATATATATATATATATATATCCTAGCTATCCGGACCCATAAAGTACGGCCTTTACCGTACCGACCATTTCTATACTTATCTATTCCACACCGATCATTTCTATACTTATTCATTTATTGATTTAACTTATTTCAAAAGAGATTTGTATAATAGGTTGTTACGACGTATTTCGTCAATAACTCAAATAAACAGTAGTTTAGTGCGTTATCATCATCTTTTTGTTGTTTTGGAGGGTTAAATCCTCCCTTTAACATAACAAATTTTTAAATTTTTTATGTCTTGCAGTGTATATTTATCGCAAAAAAATAATATATATATCGCAAAAAAGACTTGCAATTGCTAAAACAAAATTTAAAAGTTTTCTTATATTATAATATATTATATGCGATCGTTCATATACCGCCCGATAACTCAACTTATGCTAAAGACTCGGGGATTTGTACGTAGCGCTATACAAAGGACGGAACTTACACTTACAGGCAGTAGTACATAACGCTGTGCGAAGGGTGGAACTAAGAAGATGAGGTAAATATAATATTTAGAAAATAAATATCATGAGAGGGGAGAGTCATGGCTAATCTAAAATGAAAGTTTCAAATTTTCTACTAGGATGAGACAATATGTTTTGTGTTTTTTCAATCTTGTCAATTTTTTTAAAACACGATAACATTTATGTTTAAATTCAAAAATGAGTTTAAGCAAAAAAAAAATGTGTAATTAATAGAAGTTTCTTTTATATTACACACGATCTTGTATATAACGCAACTTAATTGCTATGCATTAAAGCTTCGCTAATTTAGCAAACCCTATTAAAAAGTATTGATTAATTGCAATCAGTATAAGAGACTTATAAAATAGTTTGTTTTTCTATTACATACATAATTTTGATTGCTCAGTGTTTTAATGCGTCTTCGGTGTCTTTTCGCAAAGGTTCAATTACGGTTCTTGACACAATACATTTTCAATTTTTTCAATCTTTTAAAAAATTTTTATAATTGTTAAAATAAAATTTTTTGCTAGCTACAGGCTACTTTTATTATTTACTTTTGCCTCTGCAATGCCGGATTAACCCGGGGTCATTAGAGCCTAGGCGCCCAGCCCCAAAAAATTAGGGTACTAGTGGGGCCCACGATTTTTAACGTTTATATATATATATATTTTTATTAATATGCTTTTTATTTTTTTTTTAATTATTCACCTCCTCAAGGCTCAAGGCCCACAACAGTCGAGAAGGTTACTCATTTTTTTGTTTTTTTATTTTTTTGTTGTAAATCGTGGTTTACAACAACTCTTTAACTTATATAACTTATATAGAGCAACCTCGCTATGGAACTATGTCAATAAATTGTCTTAAGATGTTCAAAAAAAGTATTTTAAAATGGCACGGAAAATCTTGTTTTTGTAAAATCTGTCAAAAATAACTTTTTTTATTTTTTACGTTAAAAATATCCAACTTGTTGTATTTATTGACATTTATATTATTTACTATGCAAGCTATTTTTATTTTATTTTATTTATTTTTTATTCACGATATGTATGTTTGTTTGTATTGTCTTAAACAGTTTAGTGTGTTGATTTTAATTAGTTTTTGTTGATTATAAAACTGTTGTAAACAATTAACTGAAAATAAAGTTTTAAATAAATAAAAATCAATAACTCCAAAACACGAACCTTGACAAGCAAGACCGCTGCACGGAGATATTAAGTTGAGCGCGGTGCTTCCAGGTACGTGGTGGTCGAACTCCGAACCTCTCGCATACAAAGCGAGCGCTCTTACCACTACACTAATACCACTAAAGCAGATAACAAAAAAAAAAAAAAAAAAAAAACATGATTGAATTAAAAATGTATTATTTCAGAACTTTCCTTAATTAGGTTTCATTTACATACATTTAATACTCAAAAAAAAGATATAAATATTTTAAGATTAAATATTTTGAAAAACAACATGCTTATAATTGCTAAATGCTAAAATAGATATAAATGCTAAAAAAGATTAAATATTTTGAAAAACAACATGCTTATAATATTCGACAAAAATGACAAATATTAATGACAAAATAATAAACTTAGTTTTTAATATTTGTAATATATAGTATTTTAATTTGAGAGAAACTTATTAGGGCGTTCATACTTTCAATGGAATAAAGATCAAACAAAACATTTTTACCGTACTTTTAGCTCGTTTATTAATGGAGTAAACTAGAATTCTTTTCCAGATCAATTTAAAATGTTAATATTTTGAGTTTTAATGCTTCAACTACCGAACCCCTAAACTTTTTAAAAATTTAGAGGTTTTTTTTTTTTGGCTGAAATGTCACTACCATTTCAACCAAAATATATTACAACTTTCCCAATAATAACAAATTTTACTCAACAAATTAAATTATAAAAATGTTAACAAATTTTGAATTTTTATTTTAAAGAATTGAAGCAAATGAAAGAATTCAGTCAGAACTACCAAGTTGAACTTTGTAAAAAAAAGAACAAAAATCAAAAATGATCGCAAAAAAATGTTTAACTTATCGAAAAAAAGAGAAAAAGAAATGAATATTACAAATTGATAACCATAAAAGTAAGTTTTAGTTATAGAGAAAATTTATTGGAAAAAAGAGTTTTTACTTGTTTTTACTTTGCAGAAGAAATTAAATTTGTTTACACTTTTTTTAGTCTTACTCATCAATAAAGATAAAAAATGTCAGATGAAGATAAAAAATGTCAGATGAAGATAAAAAATGTCAGATGAAGATAAAAAATGTCAGATGAAGATAAAAAATGTCAGATGATAATAAAAAATGTCAGATGAAGATAAAAAATGTCAGATGAAGATAAAAAATGTCAGATGAAGATAAAAAATGTCAGATGAAGATAAAAAATGTCAGATGAAGATAAAAAATGTCAGATGAAGATAAAAAATGTCAGATGATAATAAAAAATGTCAGATGAAGATAAAAAATGTCAGATGAAGATAAAAAATGTCAGATGAAGATAAAAAATGTCAGTTGAAGATAAAAAATGTCAGATGAAGATAAAAAATGTCAGATGAAGATAAAAAATGTCAGATGATGATAAAAAATGAGATAAACAATAAAAAGCGTTTTTTGCACTTCAATTTCTGACTTGACATTCTAAGTATATGACATGACATTCTAAATTAATTTTATTAATTTCTAATGAAATTAATTTTATTAATTTTTAATGAAATTAATTTTGATAATTTCTAATCAAATTAATTACATTAATTTATTATGTCATTAAAAATAAAAACTCTAAACTTTAAAAAAAAAAGTTCGAACTTGAGCACGTTCGAACTGTATTGGAAAAAAGTTCGAACAATTTTTATATTTTTTTACTTACTTGAAAAAGTGAAATAAACGGATACAAGTTAAATGCTAAACTGTTTAATTATTTATCAAGTAATGCGAATTGACATTTTGATTTGAGTTTTTTATTTTAATTGAGAACAAATAATATCCCTTAACTAATAGTTGTTTGCTTTTTTAATTTTTTATATTTATTGGTTAATTACATATTAAATATTTTATATATTTTTTAAAATATTAGTTTTTTACTTCTTTTTTTTTTAACCACTAATGAATTATAAATTAAAATTACACTTATTTTTGCAATAATGGACAGAAAATATCTAGACGGAAATTTAAAATGCAAACTAAAAAAAAAAAATTTGACAGACAGCAAACAACATTTAAAAAAATCCCAAAATTGGCTAATTTTTCCCGATCTCCTGATAAAGCATTAGAGGAGAATCAATGTTTGTCAACTGAATCAAACCCAACTACAGAAAGTTCATAATTGCAGAACGTAACATTTGTTTTAATGACATTTCTTGTAGTACTTGATAATTTATTTATTTAATTTATAACACCTACAATACAGCTAAGTACTAATATTTTAATTTATTTATGTAATATTTCAGTCTGAATAGTTCAGACCGTCATCAGACGTAAAATTAAATACAAATAGAACGTAACATATAATTCTTCAATTAACAATGTATCGGTGTTATCCAATTCAACAGCGCAGCAAGAAAATGTGTCACATGGCCATGTAAAAAATACTTTGGAATTTAGAGGAAGGAATAAATAATTAAATTTATTGTTATTATTGTTATAACCATTATTATTATTTCTTTTATTGTTGTTCTTATAATTATTGTTATTATTATTGTAATGAGTAATATTATTAAACGTATTATTATCTTTATTCGTTAACTTAAGCTGTACCGTTGTTTTTCGATTTAGTCCAGTTTGTCAATATGTCAATCTGACCCATCATTGTGGACGGATTTGAAAGAAGCGCAACGCTACTGGATTTATATAAATTTCTGATCAAAATTTTAGAGACAAAAATTTTAAAAAATCTAAAAAAGTAACAAACACCAAAATAAGGTGCTGCTTTCTTTTCTATTTTTCTTTTAAATTGAAAAATGGTGAAATTAGAAAGAGAGACTGGCTTATTTATTCACCATCCACAGGAAAAATATTTTGTTTTTTCTGCTTGTTTTTTTAAGATTCAGACAACAATTTCAGATCTGGATTCAACGACTGGGCGCATAGTGCGTTCTATACATAGACACGAACAAAGAAAGTAGGATTCTGATGCAGTCCATTGCTATTTAGGAAAAGTCATATTAAATGAAAAAATTGATATTCTTTTAAATTAGCAAACGGAGGATGAAAAGCGTTACTAGAGGGAAGTTCTGAGAAGAGTTGTTGAATGCTTGAAGTTTTTGTGCAGTCGAGGTCTAGCTCTTAGAGGTGATTTAGAAGAAATAGGCGACTTCAGTAATGAAAATTTTCTCGGGGCCTTGGAGTTCTTAAAAAGTTAGCAAAATTTGGCCCATTCGAAATCGAGGCAGAGGAAATATTTCATACATTTCATCAACAAATTATGAGGAAATTGTCTTGCTAATGGCAAAAAAAGTTCTGGATTCCATTAGCAGCGAAACTGCCAGTACTACATACTTTTCACTGATTGTTGACTCAATTGTAGTGCAGAGAGAGCATTTAACAAAAATGTTATGATCGTTTAAATGCTCTTTGTTTAATGACAATTAAAAGAACACTGTTAAAAAATATAAACTTTCAAGATGTCGTAATTGATTTTGCAAATGTGAAAGCAAAAAACGTTTCTATTTAAATTAAAAAGTAATCATATATTTTTTGCATTCATTTTTAAATATACTTTTTTAGAAATGGGGCCCAAAATATTTTGTGGCTCCTGGCCCCTAAGACCCTTAATCCGGCCTTGCTCCACAGCAACACCTTTTGGAGTAGCAGAACAGGCTCATTAAACTTTTTCGTTATCAAGTTTCAAATCATAGTTTTTCTTTCAGCTTCTTTGGACTAATTAACTAAGAACATTATTAGCATAAGTATATGATATACGCGCAAGAAATTCCCGGTGTTTTGATGTTTTTAAAAATTTTAAATTTTTTTACAAAATCTTTCCTTTACGTTTTTATAATATATAATATCTTCACCTATCTTATGGATATAATATATGTAACAAAAGAATATATAAAACGGAAAATAAATGCTACAAATCAAAATTAAGGAGATATTGCTGCAATAAAATTTATAAGTAAAAGTATAACTGTAAAACTTGATATGTGTTTTAACATTACATAATTTGAAGTTTACATAAGTTAGATATTTGCATACAATTTTGTTCACATTTTTTTACAAAAAAAAGTCCTGCTTTTTCTCGCCACTGTCTCAGTTGCAATGGGAGCCAAGGGTTCCATTCCAAACACACACGAGTGTGCACTACTACTACTACTAACACTACTATTAAGTTCAGCATTAATATAAAGATATTCGATTTTGATTACAAAGTTACAATTAAAAAAAGCTTAAAAAATTACAATTAAAAAAAGTTCTCCAAGCTGTTATTAATCAGCGAGAGGTTTTTAGGCTAAATGTCTCATGAACTAAATTTAAATAAATTTCTGGGCCCTTTGAACTCTAAATAAAACTTAGCAAAAATTTGTATTTACTTTAGTTATTGCATAGTAAATGTTAGTTAATACAAGAGACATATTATATACGTATACTTCATTATTGTAAAATATAAGCAAAAACAGTTTGTATTAAAGTAATATTTAAGTAAAGAACGAAAAATTAAAAATAAAAAAGTACTTTATTTACAAAAACCGTAATATATATGTATATTTTAAAACCAACTTGTATAAAAGTAAAATGTATAGCAATCATAGGCATAGGGTATGGGGTGCAACGGGGGCTGGCTGCCTCCCTTGAGTCAACCTCGCCCCCCTCCCACTTGAAAATTTTATCCTATGTTAAAATAAAAATAACTTCAAATTTTTATTTTTAAAAAGTAGAAATCATAGAGAAAAATATCAAGTTTTTTTTCCTTAAAAAGCGAAGAAATAAATAATCCTTTGCTATAAACATACCCAAAAAAACAACGTTTTTAAGATAAAAACTTGAAAAACTTGACGAACGAGGAAATCTTTTTTTTCAAATAAAAATACGTTTTTCCGATAAAATAAAACTTCAGATAGTCTTTTGATCTCAGTTAAAGATTTTTTTCATGCTGTATACTAGTGCTTTATAGTAATTATTTTACCGACGTTTTTGTTTTTGTGTAGATTTTATATTAATTTTTATTAAATTTTCAGATTAAAATAAAAAAAAAATACCAATTAAAAAATCTTCAAAGAAAAGCATTTAGATAAGATACCATAGTGGGCTTGACTTGACGGTAATGAAGCTTATTTTAGGCGAGTAACGGTTAGTTCACTTGACGATAACTTTCTGTCAAGAAGTTATGAAGACTTCAAACACGTCCACTACCAACGTTTTAAATTTTAGCTTTTCTTTTTAGAATTAGAAAAAAAAAAAAATAAATAAAGTTTTACTAAGTTTACATATTTATATAAAGTACTATAAAAAATAAATGTCTGTTATTAGTTATTTTTTATAGAACTTTGAATAACTGCTGTTAAAAAAGTGTCACTTTTTTAACAGCTGGAAAAGAGCGGGTATTATTAGCCTAGCCAACAATTTATTGCACCTTGTATTTTCCTTTAATAATTTTTATGAACTTTTAAATTGTATAGGCATTGATATCCTTCCGTACTGTGGACGATGAGTTCAAAATTAATGAGTATTTTTTGTGGTTTTTATGTGACAGCTACAACTAAAACAAAAACTAAAACAAGGATCTGTTTTTGATTATAAAAAACGTCCTTCTTTGTTTCAACTCAAGGCTCGAGAACTGTTGGGAACAATCTTACAATGGAGCTGCTAAAATGTCTTGTGAAATAGCTGGCTAAGAAAAATTTCTTCTTCAACAAGAAAACAAAGCCCTTTATGTTCAATGCAGAGCTCACAGTTTAAATTCCTTAAAGGCTCTTTAAGTCACGTTTTAAACCACTTTTTGATGCGGCAACTAAATCTGAAAAACAATGGATTTTGATAAACCAGCTCTGCCTAGGAAGAAGAAAGTACTTGCAAGATTTGAAGTTGGCTTCAGGAATACTTATTACGAGGGACTTAAACAATTTCCCTCAAGCTGAGCTTAATGAATTTCAAAGTGAATCATTAGAGTCAGAAAAAGGAACTTTATCTAACAGTGGAGAATGCAAGGTTCAACTTAACTTAGTAATAATTAATGCTAACCTTTCTTTGTGGGTAGTTGTTTTGAGTTAAAAAGAACAAGATGTAATTATTTTAA